TTAGGGTTTAGGGTTTAGGGTTTAGGGTTTAGGGTTTAGGGTTTAGGGTTTAGGGTTCAGGGTAGATTTTAGAGTTTAGGGTTCAGGGTTTAGGGTTTAGGGTTTAGGGTTTAGGGTTTAGGGAGTTGGAGTGCTTTGGGGTGCGCGCATAGGAGCCGAGTTTGATCATGGGGTGAACCTCGAGACAAACGTGGACTGTAAAGCTTCAAATACTTTGAGTCATACAAATAGAGGAATAAAAAAGTAAATACATGAATCAATATATATATATATATGTAAATGTAAATGTAAACTTTAGTAGAATTATATATAACCCCTTAGGAGTCGAAATATGGAGGCTCTATATTTTCAGGTCCATCCAGTCCTGGGGTCTCTGGGAAGCGGAGAGCCCCTGGCAACGCAGCCAAGTATCCGTTGCACTTGGGATGCGGGAGTTGAGCGACAAGAGTCCTGGGGTTTCAAGGGAACGAGGTTGTTGGAGGTCTTTGAATATCGGAGGTGTTGTGCCCGAAAGTTGATGCACGCTAGCCGCTGGCTGGCTCTGGAGGTAGGAAGTTCTGGAAAACAGGTAGATGTGGGATGTCAAAGATCTGTAAGTCGAGGCTACACTCTGGTTCGGCATGGTTCTGGCTTGCAAAACCCCGTCCAGAACACAAGGAGCTTCCCACATCACTTCCTCAACTCGAGGCCCATCAAGTCCTAAGCCCCTGGAGCATAGAAGTCTTAGCCTCAACTCCTTCAACTCCTTCCAAAGCCCGACGAGAGTTTTCCTTCAACAACAATCTGAACCGCGATCCTGCCAAAGAGCCGACAAGACCGACGAAAAAAGAGAAGAGGAGATGGTGGCTGCTGGTGCAGACAGCATCTTCCGATGCAGGTTCTAAGGGGTTTTAAGGTTGAGGGCTCGTTTCCAGGGCTCCGGGGCTTCAATCCTTCAGGAGGGTTTAGGGTTTACCTGTAGCCGGAAGACCTACCTGTTTAGGGTTCCTTATTATGATTTCTATACTATATAGTTCCTTAAAAAGGTAGGTCTTTTCGAGGGTTTAGGGTTTAGGGCATTCACAGTTATCTTCCCAAGGGCTGGAACATGTGGATCGTCTGCAGCTTCTCAGTGCCGTCAACGGTTTAGGGTTTAGGGTCCCTTATGAGCGGGTCTTCTTCTCTAAGGTCTTTGCTCTTCGTAAGACCCGGCCAGCCACGGCAGCTTCTTGATAACCTGAGAAAGAAGCACAACTCTCAAGCACAAGAAACCACTCCAAATCCTAAAGCCTAAGCCGTCTTCGAAGACATCTTAACACTGATAGTATGCTTTCGCCTATATTAGGGGCCCTTAAAAGAGCAGAGGCTAATTCATCAGGGGTCTGCATCAACAACCGAACGCTGAAAGACTCGCCCGGAATCCCAAGAGCCTGATGCTGAAGCCTAGTCTTTTCTAGGTAGTATTAGGGAGAGCCCTTGAAGGGGACCCTACTTAACCCTACTTCTGGCTCTCTTAAAAGGGACCTTATTGAGAGGGTCTATATCCAAACGGGTGCCCCTAATCCTAACTCCTAATCTTCAGGATTTAGGCTCTAGGCTTTGCTTTCGGCTTGGGGTTTAGGGCTAGGGCCAAGGATACTGGTGTCTGAACTTCAAAGTTTAGGCTTTAGGGTTAGGGTTAAGGGTTTAGTGTTTAAGATGTGTTGGCTCTCTTACAACTTGCAGAGATAGCATCAATAAAGTCAGGTCTTGGGCTCTTTTGGGTACTAGGTCCTGAAGCCAAGGCCGTGAGTTTACAGATAGTCGAAACCATAAGCCGCTGAACTCTAAACCCTTGGCTCACGGGTGTGCATCTCGTTCACAGACTGCTTTCATGCAATCAATCATGGGTAGATATTGCTTGATGCAGACGGACAAGGCGAAAGTGAAGTGTTGGACTTCGCGTTCACAACCTCATCCGACTTGCCTTCTTGAGCAGCAGCTTGAGCTGGAGCGGAAGGCCATCGTGCAGGATCTTCAGATGCTACAGACCAAGAACGAAATCCTCGAGCATAAGGCGGCTGAGCTCGAGGGAGGCCGAGATTTGAGACAGGAGGCAGCAGAGGTGTCACCTCAGTGACGAATGATGTCGGCAACCTCCTCGGGCCCCGCACCGTGCATGGCAACTCCGGGCTCCAGGATTTAATCCCACCAGAAGAACGCGAACGCTGGCTGGGAAGATGCGAGGACGAGCACAAGCACAGGCCACAGAAGCAGAGGACCAAGAGACGGACAGGGAAGCGAATGCAACGGAGGCACTTCGCAGAGGACATGACCAGGAACCAGCTCGGTCGAACAATGCACATAGTAATGGAAGAGGTGGCCTCAGTGACGGCTCTGTAGCCTCGAGTGATGCAGATGACTGAACAAGCACTTCAACGAGGGGTATTTGGTTTGAAATCTTTGGATGGTTAGTGCTGAAGTTGCTGTTGAGGTGCCAGGACTGGTTGAGGTGATACAGTCTCCGCGAAAACAGTGTATAAGTGTGCATGCAGTGTGCAAACAATGGACCTTTGATGTTGTCAGGTGTTGCTAAGCAAGTTGGCTTCTGGGTGTGCTTCGGTTTGTTAGTGGCTGTTAGCGGTTGCTGTCGTTGCTCCCAATGCCAGCAAAACCCTAGCAGCCATAAGCCCGGAAAGCCTGCTAGGCTTCATCGTGGCAGAAAGGAAGAGCACATCCAGTGTCTGAGTGGTTTTGCTGCGTTGCAGGCCGGCTCTTCTCGAATTCTGTAATCAGGGTGTTTCAGTAAAATTTTTCGGGGGGAAATTTCGGGGATCTCCAACGTCGTCCAGGTCAGAATTTCGCCGCTGAGTTTGGAGGTTTGTTGCTTGCAGCTTTCGGCATCAGGGTTTGTGAGCTTCATGGTCTGGGACATGGAATGCCTAAACCCTAAACCCCTAAGCCCCTAAACCCCTAAACCCTAAAACCCTAAACCCTAAAACCCTAAACCCCTAAGCCCTAAACCCCGAAACCCTGAAAACGCTAAACCCCCGAAACCCTAAACCCCTAAACCCGAAGACCTTAAACCCGAAACCCTAAACCCCTAAACCCGACGACCCTAAACCCTGTATGGCGGGGTGACGTTCTCGGATTGCGTCAAAGCCAGGGCCCTCAAAGCTGGGGATTCCTTGTCGAAGGCCAAAGCCCCGATTGCTTTAGGGTTTAGGGTTTAGCGTTTTGGTTTAGAGTTTAGGGTTTAGGGTTTAGGCTTTAGGGTTTAGGTTTAGGGTTTAGGGTTTATACAACATAATCGCAGCACCGTACATACTGTAGGGGCCTTCGTAAATACCCATACTATTCTGGGGGTTCCTTGCTAGAATTGTAGTATAAATATATACCCCAAACCCTGTTCCGATTACTAAGGCCTCTACAGTACATATGCTACAATGCAATGTGGTGACCCATGCGATAGCTCATGATTCCCAGAGACTCCAATGTCCCTTATTTAAGGAATATACCTTAAATTATAGTAGGATCCCTCAACCCTAAACCCTAAACCCCCTGAGCCCTAAGCAACCCTAAACTAAACCCTAAACCCTAAACCCTAAACCCCCCTGAACCCTGAGCAACCCTAAACCCTAAGGGGTATTGGAGTCTCTGGGTAGCTCATGATCATGGCCAGAGCACAGAGTGGTTAACAGAGGCAACGTCCATCACGAGTACCCGCCCCTCGGCGAGCATGCTCCGAAAAGTTTTAAACCCTAAACCGTAAACCCTAAACCGAGGGTTTAGGTTTTAGGGTTTAGGGTTTAGGGTTTAGTGTTTAGGGTGCTCCGAAAAGTTCTGTAGTGTTAACCTTACGTGCTGGGATTGTTTGCTGGGCGTCGGGGCGCCCGAATCCCCCAAGTGGGAAACCTTATTCATCAACCCCGGCTCGGCAACCGGACGGTCTGTCTCCAAAATGGAGCGGCTCTATACTACCCTATTACGGGGGTCTGGAAGGACTCTATAAGGAATCTTGGAGGGAACTTTGAGTGTTCTTTAACCCTAAGGGTCCATGTGCCCACATAGTATATACTTTGGCCTTAATGTAGTCCCTATATAGGTACTTTGGGGCCAACTTAGATGCTATTTGGGTCCATGGACCCCTCGGGGTAGAAGAAGGGAACCCAAAACCCAACGCAACAGAGCTCGGAAGACAAGCGATGCTGACCTAGACTGTCATTCAACCCCAGCCTAGAAACCCCTTCCTAGACCCCAAAAGTATGTAGAATAATTTCGTTTTATAGGTTTTGGGCCATGATTTTACCTTCTTTTTTTTTTTGTGGGGGGGGGGGGGTACGTAGCCCCTAAGACTGTGGCTAAGTGCTCAGAGGGCTGATCGCGGGCAGAAGCTTTCCCCATAGTGAAACACAGAGAGGATTTTGCGCCATCTTTTGATTATCAGCCGTAGGTTCTCGATCTTGGCCTTTACTGAGGTTTATTCGCTGCTCATTGAGCCGACTCTTCGACATTGCCACATAACTCTTTTGGCCCGCAAACTGGCGAACCACGGCAGCTCTGGAGGAACCGAAAAGAGGTGTTCAGCAGGCAACCAAGAGGGCCTATCAGATCCAGGAGTCAATCAATCGAGGCGAGTTAACCTTTTACAATCTCCTTCTTGCCCAGGGGCTCGATCGTGAGTGGATCCTCACTGAAGCAGGTCACTCATTTGAAGTTGAAGGCCAAAGCTCATCGAGCCACCAGCCGGCGGGGGGTGAGAGAGACAGAACTCGATCTCCGACTTCTCATCGGGTCTTGAGGCCAGCCCGTCCACCACAGCCAAGTCACCGGTGTGAAGGTTTTTGGGTTTAGGGTTGAGGGGTTGTTTATGTTTTGCACAGAAGTCGAAATTTGTTAAAGTGACCGAAACTTCCGAGAATAAAGGCCAAGCCAGGGGAGGACGAGGCAGAAGTGACTTCCGCCTGAAGCTTCACACCCGACGCACCCTAAACCCTATAAGCCCTAAACACTCTTTGTCACATGTATTTAAAAGCTGAATTCACTCGTTGAATATGGCTTTTTTCTGGGGCTTGTCGTCAAATTCACGAAGAAACAGTCATATTCAACGAAGAAAAATCAGATTTAACGAAGGCCGGCCCAAACCAAGGCCGGCCCATTCGTTGAATATGACTTTCTTCGCCAAGTTCAACGAAGAAAACGTCATATTCAAAGAAGCCAGGCCCATTCGCTGAATATGATTTTTCTTCGTTGAATATGACGTCAACTTTTGCTTCGCCAAGTTCAATGAAGAAATCACCAAATCCAACAAACAAAAATCATATTCAACGAAGGCCGGCCCCGTTGTTGAATATATTTTTTCTTCGTTGACTGTGACCTTTTTCTTGAAGTCCGGCTCTTCGTTGAAAATGATAATATGAACCCTAAACCCTTAACCCTAAACCCTAAGCTTTAAGCCCTAAACCCTAAACGGTGCAGGGTGTAGGAGTTCAGGGCCAGGGTTCAGGCGAGGTTTAGGGTTCAGAGGTGAATGTAGGAGCCTGGTCATTATTTTTTATATATATATATATATATTTTTTTTCTTTTTGGGGGGGGTTCCTTATTATAGTGATAGTATAATGGGCCCCCAAACCCTATTCTAAGTATTAAGGCCCCTACATTAGGGTTCAGGGTTTTGTAGCATAGAGTCTAGGTATTTTCTGGGGCTGTATCATATGTAGGGTTTGAGCACTGTTAGAGGTCGCTGATGAAGGATTATAGTTTAAGCTCTAGGGTCCAGGATGTATGTTTTGGGGTTTAGGTTCTAAGCTCTAGGATTAATGAATTCTGTTGTTGCTTTATGTTCTGCTGACCCCGAAACTTGAAAACCCTAAACCCTACAAGCCCTAAACTTTAAGCCCTGAACCCTACAAGCCCTAAACTTCAAGCCCTTAACCCCATAAACCCTAAGACTTTAAGCCCTTAGCCCTATAAACCCTAAGATTTTAAGCCCCAAATTCCTAAACCCTGACAGGCATTTCCGCATCTCTGCCCACGCGTTGAGAGCCTCATGAAGGGGCTGGAAGACCTGAGGGTCCGGAGGGACGGGGTTTGGGTTTAGGCTTTAGGGTTTAGGCCTTTGGGAGCAGACTTTAGGCTTTAGGGTTTGGACTTTAGGCTTTAGGGTTTAGGCTTTAGGGTTTAGGGTTTAGTGTTTAGGGGTTAGGGTTAGGATTTAGGGATTAGGTTTAAGGTTTTAGGGTTTAGGGTAATGCGGGACGGGGAGTGGAGAGGGTTGCAAATTGGGTAGTTCTCCACATTATAGGGTCCTTTTTTAGGGATCCTGCAAGGTATCTATCGGGGTTTCTATAATTACAGTCCCTTTATAGGTCCCCAATATAGTACGGTACCCCTTGTGCATAAAAAAGACCGTGATCGGGACCCTAATTTAGAGAACTACCTAATTGGACCGTAAACCCTAAGCCCTAAACCCCGTTGTGAAGTTTAGTGTTCGGCGTGTGGTTCCGTCACGGAGATCTTTGGCGAGAGGATTTCGTACTGGGGCGGGGGGTGAGTGTTCAGTTGTTATGCTTCGTTTGCAGTTTGGGGAGGTTGTAGAAGTCAGGTTGTGGGGTTCAGGGTATACTGAGTCGATGGAGGGAACTGTTCTGCTCGCTGGCGCATTGTGAACTGACTATAGGTGCTATGATAGGTCGAGTACAGCTACCGTTGGAGCGGCAGTCGAGATCCAAGCTACAGAAGTACCACAGCACAACCCTTGCCAGAGAGGGCTCCGGGTTTGGGAACTTTTCGCCAAAATGACTCTGGCCATGTTCGGATCCTCTGCTTCGAGTTGTTCCTTGTGCTCCACCGTGCCTGCGTCCCCACCTACGGCCAGGGCTAGATGATAATATACTGCAAGTGGCCTCGAACGCAACTTAATTGTGGGTTCAACTTATGATAATCCTGGGATGCTCCGAACTGCCGCAATCATACCCCTGCCTTGAGTGGTGCTTACTAAAAGTGCCCCGTACAGTATCGTTGGTAGCTAAGAGCGGCCATGAACCTTCGTCCATGTTCCGAAGGCTTCAGACGACTGGGCAAGTAGCTGCCAGTCCCACCCTAAACCCTAAACCCTAAACCCTAAACCCTAAACCCTAAACCCTAAACCCTAAACCCTAAACCCTTAGCTGCCAGTGGGTTCCTTTTATTTACTTTACGTGCACTAGAATGGTTTCTAGGGGCTGAAGGTTCCCTTAAGCGGTTGCTTTACATGTACCAGAACGGTTTCTGGGGGTTCAGGGTCCCTGAAAAGGTTCCACTTAAGGGTATTATAACCGTTTGCAGGGCTTTAGAGTGTAATATAGGCCGTAGTGCGTAGAATGGGGATATTGGGGTCACCTAAGGTGCCCTCGATGCAGCTCTGAACCCTAAACCCTAAACCTTAAACCCTAGTCTTGTGTAGGTAGTATTATTAGGGGTACCCCTTAAAGGGTACCCCTTCTGAACCCTACTTTGGGCTCTCTTGAAAGGGACCTTATTGAGAGGGTCTATATCCCCAAGGGTCCCCCTAATCCTAGCTCCCATTGTGGCCCAAACTTAGGCCATGACTTCTGTTCTTCTGCCGAAGAGCTTGAGTTCGAATACTTAAAGCCAACCTACTGTAGAGGCCTAATAATTACCAAAACTATTTTGGGGGTTCCTTATTATAGCTATAGTATAACATACCCCGAAACCCTATTCTAATTATTAAGGGCCCGACATGATTTAAAGCCAAGCTAGTTGTCTGGGTTTAGGGTTTAGAATTAGGCGTTGTAGGAGTCAGAAGTCAAGCCCAGTAAACTATGAGGGTTGCTGAGCTGCAGGTAATCCCCATAAGCCTAAACCCTAAACCCGAAAGCCATGCCCTACACCGCAGACCTTGGCGGACGCAGAGAAAGCTCCTGCAGATTGCCTCAAGGCGTCAGCAAGCTACTTCAGGTAGCCGGAGATATGGATTTGGTTGCAGGGGCTTGGGGATGGCAGGAGCATGCTGAAACACCGCCCAGCATGAGCATGGAATATAGGGGCCGAAATAATTATCAATAATATTTTGGGGGTTCCCTATTAAAGAATAGAGTATAAAGGGCCCCTAAACCCTATTCTTAATGATTAAGGCCCTTATATTAAATCCTAGACACTAAACCGTAGCGAAGATTCATGTTTCCGGCGTGCTTATCCTGCTCCCGCACTGGCGAGCGTAAACCCTAAACCCTAAAAGGGCTGCCCACATGTGCATGTGCGCAGGCGATGACCGAGCTTTGCAACTACATCCGCGAAGAGTGCAAACTGAAGATGGAGGCCTGTTCCCGTTAAACTTGGGTTTAGGATACCCTAACCCTCCAGGTACCACTATGTAGGGTACTAGAGCCCCTAGGGCCCTATATAGTAGTCACCTGGGGGGTTTAGGATAGCTGTCGTTCATCTTCGGCAGTATGTGAACAGACCTTTAAGGTTGCACTTTGCGCGGCACGGGTCTTGGTTTAGGGCCTCCCTTGTTCTTAGTCTTATTTCGGAGCCGCTTGACCTACGCTTGCTTTCCATTCTTCAGGTGATAGTGAAAATCCCATGAAGTAGACCTGACGGAGAGGGGTATAGGCCATAGGCAGGCCCCAAGTCCCAAACCCCAAACCCGAGAAAAAGTCTCCATCGTAGTTCTTTTTGGGCTAGCCACTGGTACAAAAAGAAGGGTCCTAGCATATCAGTGCCATAAAACTGGTTCACCCAACAAAGCAACCCCAATGCAGACCGTAGGTTAGTTCTCATTCCGCTTTATCATTGGTCTGCCTGCTCAAGGCTGTGCCGGGGATGAAGTGATCTGAGACCGAACGTAATGCAATACAGCTTTGGCTATACATATATATATATATATATATATACATAGAGGACTTAAGGGTTTATAGGGCTTCAGGGTTTTAGGGTTATAGGGTTTAGGGTTTATGGGTCAGGGTTTCAGGGCTTTGCCGTTACAGCTGGCTCAGGCAGAAGGGCTCCGTGGGTTCAGGCTTCAGGCCTCATCACCAACGTCTTGCAGTTTGTACGGTTTAGGGCCTAGGGTTGTACAGCGAACCCCCATAAAGTTGGAACATGGGTTTGGGAGGATTAGTGCTAGAATCCCTTCTGCTTTGCCTTAAGGGCACGAGGATAATGATGTTCCAACTTTCTGGCCTCTGCTGTAGGGTTGTAGGGTTTAGGGTTTAGGGTTTACATGAGTGCAGCTCTGATGCATCTTGCGCATATTGGGACCTCTGGCAATCATGTTTCCGGTTTTCCTGCCTTCTACTGGCAAAGTAACCAGGCAAATACGGCTACAGAAGCATCAAGCCGAAAAATCCCTAAACCATCTTAAACCCTAAACCATCCTAAACCCTAAACCATCCTAAACCCTAAACCCTAAACCATCTTCAACCTGACTGACTCTGCGACTGTCTAGTCGCCCTCGGAGCAGCCAAGCAGACGCTGGAGCTATTTACTCGTGGAGACCCGGCCCGAAGCCTCTTGCAGCCACGAAGATAGGGACCCAGAGAAGCCAATACCCCTTAACTAAGGAAATATACCTTGACTGCTAATATTAAGGAATATACCTTAACATCCTAGTATTAAGGCCACTATAATTTGTCCACCCTGAGGAAACCCTGACCCAAAACCTACAAGTACCCAGCTAATTGGGTTTTCTAGCACCAAAAATCGTTCAGAGTTCGAAATTTGGGTTCCTAAAAACCCTGCGATTGGGTACTTGGACCCTTTGGGTGATAATGACCCAAACCCAAAACCCTAAACCCTAAACCCCCACAAGTCCTTTCCGCTCCTTTGCAAAGGCTTCCGAGGATGCGAAGCCTGCAGAACGGGAGGTGCGGCCTACAGTTCCTGTAGGGTTTAGGGGTTTAGGGTTTAGGGTTGAATGGTTTAGGGTTTAGGGTTTAGGGGTTTAGGGGTTTAGGGTCTAGGGTTTAGGGGAAGTTCCC